TGCTCCTCTGCTGTACCTAGCCACAGCTCTTCCCATGGGCTACCAAGGGCAGCTGCTAAGCACATAGTGGCTAGCAAAACTTTCCTCAGGGTTCCTCAGTCACCTGGCTCCCCTAGCTTCTCCTGCACCCATCCCCATCGTTCTGCCTTGCTGCCTCACCAAATCAGAGTTCCAAAAGCATTGCACTGTAGTCCCAAACCTCGTGGGCCTTGCCACCTACCAGCTGGCTGCGCTTCAGTGGTGGTGTATGTATATAGTTTGTAAAGTGCTTTGGGATCCTCTGGGAGAAGAGAGAATCTCTCACTTTTACAGTATCTCCCAATAAGAGCAAATAATATTTCCCTCTGACATTAACATTGCAGGGTTCTCTTTCTAGGGCACAGGGGCTGATTTCCTGTTTCCTATGGTTTCCTGATACACTCCCATAAGCAGCTCCATGGGTCCTGACAGCAAAGGGGTTCCAGAGCCCCCTTGCTCTTGCTGATTGGCCAGACTGTTGCAGAGCTACAGGGGTGGTAAGATAATCGGCAAATGTTGAAATAATCAACATCTGTCAGGCCTCCCTCTGCAAATGATCCTGCCTTTCAATTTGGGGCAGTTGGTCATTTGATTGAAGTGCTCCGCACCTGAGTGATGCTGGCAAAATTCATCTCCTGTCCTGAAGGCCTTCTAAACATAGCACTCTCACTGACCTCATTGGAGATACAGTAACTGTATGGAAGAAATGCAGTGCTGACCCCTCTATGAGAGCCAATACAGTATTTAGGGCAAACAAATACTAGCAGTGACCCGTTCCTCCTGAGTACCTTATTTCAGCAAAGAAAACATTTTCAGAAGACCCATTTCTATCAGTATTCCCTATGGAGCGGAAGCCACACTTTTCTGTAGAATTTTGTGCAGTGCTTTACAAGGGCTAAGCCCATACAAGCAGCGAGGCTGTACCAAACTTCTAGACATCCAAGAGATTTAAGTTGCTTTAAATAGTCTTGTAGGAATCTGTGATACTTTAATCGCCTTGCTTGCAGCAAAGTATTTGCAGTGATTTATTATTGGGTTTAGTTATGTTCTCTTAACATCCTCTGGAGCAAGAGATAATGGCTGAGAACATTTCCTTCTACCCCACTAACTTTCCGTGATTATTTCAGGAAGGTTTCTGTGAACCACCTCTGCCTTGCAGCATAGTGACAAGAGAGCCTGCGCAAAACAGCGAATTCTATTTCCTATACTAAATAGGAAACGAAGAGTCAAGATTACTTACATATTTTATGAGTAAGGACCTACTAAATTCAGTCCATTTTGGTCAATTTCACGGTCATAGGATTTTTAAAATAGTAAATTTCACGATTTCAGCTATTTAAATCTGAAATTTCACGGTGTTGTAATTGTAGGGGTGCTGACCCAAAAGAGGGTAATTGAGGCATCACAAGGTTATTGTAGGGGCGTCACGGTATTGCCATCCTTAGTTTTGCACTGCTGCTGGCAGTGGCGCTGCCTTCAGACCTGGGTGGCCAGAGATCAGCAACTGCTGGCCAGAAGCCCAGCTCTGAAGACCATGCTACTGCCAGCAGCAGCACAGAAGTAAGGATGGCATGGTACGGTAATCCTACCCTTACTTCTGTGCTGGTGCCTTCAGAGCTGGGCCCTTGGTCAGCAGCTGCCACTCTCTAGTTATCCATTGCCACACTTCTGCACCGCTGTTGGAAGTGCTGTCTTCAGAGCTGGGTGCCTGGCCAGCAGATGCCACTTTCTGGCCACCCAGCTCTGACGGCCACACAGAAGTAAGGGTGGCAATACTATGCCCCCCCCAAATAACCTTGCAACCTCCCAATGACCCCCTTTTGGGTCGAGACCCCCAGTTTGAGAAACTCTGGTCTCCCCTGTGAAATCTGTATAGTATAGTGTAAAAGTACACAGATTTCATGGTCCATGACCTGTTTTTTCATGGCTGTGAATTTGGTAGGGCCCTATTTATGAATAAGTAAAATATGGAAAACAAACTCCTATCCATGGAGAAAAGGTGGTGTTTGCACATCACAAAGACAAGTTTGTGTACTAGATTTTAGAGTCATGATGTGTTATGTCATCACTGGCCCAGGACATAATCTGTCTGTCCTGGCTTTGGACTGGGATAATTCTGAAGGGGCAATCCCACATTTACAAAGCTCTTCCTTTGGGTCTTCCCACTTTTACCCAACCAGGGAATTTCTTTTTATATTGTAATTCTGACCACACCTAATACCTTTTGCATATGCATGACATTTCATCACACTTTTCCTTATCTGTACTTCCACACCCCATAAATATTGGGATGCCCTGTTTTTCATAGGTTGTTTCTTAGTTCCTCTTATTCTCAAGAACATCTCTGCACAACATGTGTCTATGGCAACTTGTGCTCAGGAGAGATGCTCTTGAGAATAAGAGGAACTAAGAAACAAGGGAAGAGCCACGGGAAACCCCCAACAGGAATCATCCCTCTATTGATGATTATCTAGTGAAAGATCCATCAGACCCTAGAATCTTGTGGTCTTGGACAATACATTGCAGTCTATTGCAATCCACTTTTCCATAACCTCACCTATTGCAGAGGTGAGCAAAGTACAGCCCATGGGCCACATCCGGCCCACAGGACTGTCCTGCCTGGCCCCATGGCCCCTGAGCCCCTGGCCGGGAGGCTAGCCTCCGGCCCCTCCCCCACTCCTCTCCTGCAGCCTCAGCGCAATGCGCTGCCAGCACTCTGGGTGGCGTGGCTGTCTCTGGCCGGGCCATTCGGCTGTGAACTCCTGCCACTCTGAGTGGCATGGTAAGGGGGTGGGGAGCGGGGGTGGGTCCCGGTGGGGGGGAGTAGGGTAAGGGGGTGGGGTCCTTGGGGGCAATCAGGGGACAAGGAGCGGGGGCGGTTGGATGGGGTAGATGTTCTGGGGGGGTGGTTGGGGGGGGAACAGGGGGTTTGGATAGGCATGGGAATCCTGGGGGGCCTGTTGGGTGGCAGGAGGGTGGATAGGGTTCAGGGCAGTCAGGGGGCAGAGAGCGGAGTGGGGAGTTGGATAGGGGGCGGGGTCATGGGGGAGGTGGTTAGGAGACAATGAGTGGGGGGGAGTTGGATGGGTTGGAGGTTCTGAGGGGGGCAGTCAGGGGGTGGAAAGTGTGAGGGGGGGGCCAGGCTGTTTGGGGAGGCACAGCGTTCCCTACTCAGCCCTCCATACAGTTTCGCAACCCTGATGTGGCCCTCGGTCCAAAAAGTTTGCCCACCCCTGACCTATTGGCACATTTTTTACAGTAATCTTGTGACCTGACTGGCATAGCGTTATTCCTCAGTCATCCACTCATGTCAAGCATTCTTAAGTCTATGGCCTAGTCTGGCTAGGGTGACCAGGTGTCTTGATTTTATAGGGACAGTCCTGATTTTTTGGGGCTTTTTCTTATATAGATGCCTATTACCCCCCACCCCCGTCCCAATTTTTCACACTTGCTATCTGGTCACCCTAAGTCTGGCTAAGCTAAAATCTTACAGGTCTCAGTCTGTAGGCCTTGCATTCCAGCCATGTTTTACTAATACACATTCATCATTCTAAATACTGGTCAGTCTTATACTTCTGTAATCCTACAACTTACATCTATTTAGCATACATTGATTATGTATGAAATAGTATATGAATTGACCATAATACCACATTACACAATGATAAATGGATGATCAACTGAATTCACTGGCTACAATCTTCTGGGACTTGTGTGTGTTTGTGTTAACCTACAGTACAGTATCTACAAGGGCAGATTAAGCATGTGCCAGGATGTCTCACTGCAGAGATCATTAAATCTGGACCAGACAAACAGGTAGATCATAAGTTAAAAGCTTCACAACACGATCTCTTGTATTCAAAGAATTGTATTTAAAAAAAACACTCCTGTGGATGTGTTGTGTTGAGATACTTGTGTTAGAAATCCTCAAATGTACTTAGGCTTAACAGAGAGCAGTATTAATGGTACCAACGTAAAAGGTGGCTTTTTAGATACTAGTTGCCTATTTAAATCTAAAACAACAAAGACTTTAAACTTCAAAGTCTTCTAAATATGCCCAAACTTGTGAGAGCCAGATCTGGACTCAAACCTGGCAGCTCATACCTAGTGGATTAAACAGGGAGCTGGAAGTCAGGAAACCTGGGCTTCATTTGCCTCTTGCTCAGCAAGTTACTTCACCTCTCTTTCTACCTGTAAAAAGAGGATAATGGCACTTATGCATCTTGGTGAAGTGCTTTGAGCTGTATGGATGAAAGTTGCTAATTATATGCAAAGTAGTATTTAATATCTTTAGTTCTGCTGCTCATGGACACCTTAGAAGTGGTCTTGAAGGTATTAAAAATGCTTTTATGAGATACTTCACCTCAGGTTCTAAATGGAAAAACCTTGCAATATTTCTGGAAGCTTTGAAAGAGAAACAAAATAAGGTAATATTTAAACAAGGAATAAAAACATCTTAATCATGAAGCAAATAAGCTACATTTGTTCAGCAGCTTAATTTAAAAATGAGACAGCTGACATCTCTTTACCTCAGTTTCTCTATCTGCATAATGATACTACCCACCTAACACGAAATCTGTGAGGGCTATTGAGGTAATATTTGCACAGTGCATTGAAGATGTAAAATGCTAAGTACTGCTGTCTTATAAAACTATGGTGTTGCATAACTAAGAGGCTGAGACCTTCTGAAAATGTACATATCTTCACAATGCACTTTCATAAGAAATATAAGTGGCTGATCCAGTCCAATGGACTTCAATAGGAATAAGACTGGGCCCTTATTCTCCTACACCTTTCATACAGTTTATTTTGTTTATTCAGTGCAGAGATATTAAACCAGCTTTGAAATCCAGATAATTGACGAATCACAATCATTGATGCTCAGAACAGTCTGATGGACTTTTACAGAACCCAGAGATTCCAAAGTATAGTAGTGAAAATTATAATAAGACTAATGGAAAGATGTGGCTCATATCACTTACCTGAGAGAGTCTGAATGCAAGTCCAACTTTCTTTTTGCCATTATACCAGATAATCAAGCTGCAGACACCTGTCTGAACCCTCCTTCCATTTCACCAGGCATGTTTTTTACACTGCACAATTTGAGCTGCAGAGATGAAAAAATTCAGTGGAAGCAAGCCCAGTCCATTTAGAAGAGAACTCCCCTCAATGTTCCCTCCTAATTTTTTCCATCCATGTGCGGAATGAATTTTATGTGCACCAATATCGAGGTGACGTGCAGATGTGCACCACCAGTAGAAACAAAAACACCTAGCTATAATATATATATGTTTAAAAGTTACTATAGCCAGGACAGGTTAGACATTTTAGTACTCACTACTCAAAGAATTAAATTTAAGCGTAAGAGAAATAAAATTATGAAATGCATAACCAGTCAAAATGCTAAAATAACATTACTTCGAAAGAATGAAATTACAGAGAATATATGTGCATTGCCGGAAGTACCAAGAAGTATGTGTACTAACACAAGTATGTGTTTAGAGGTGAGTGTGAAAGAGATGGAGGGAGTGCGTGTGTGAGAAAGAGAGACAGTGTGTATGTGCTACCTGCTGGGAAAGTGTATGAGAGATGGTGTGCTGTCTTTTTAAGCAGAGAGGCACTCGCTCATCAGTCTGAAGGTTTGTTCAGACCGCAGCAACTGCATCTAACTTCTGAGCCCTGTCCCTGCACCCCCCTGCTCTGCAGAGATGGGGTACGTGGGTGGGGGATATATGGGGAAAGGGGGACACCCTGACATCAGCACCCCTCCTCCCCCCACACTTTGCATGGCAAGCAGGAGGGTCCCAGGAACAGCTGGCCAGGGGCTCCAAGGCAGAGAATAGGAGCAGCAGAGCAGTGGTGAGGAGGGGCACCAGCACACACGACGCTGCCAGATGTGCGCGGCTCTACTAATCAAGTGCACGGCACTTGATTGACTCTGCACAGCTGCGCAGCTTAGAGGGAACACTGCCTGGGATGTGTTTTCTAGCTAGTTTCATGTAGTGATAATGTCAGCCATGTGGCCTAGCAGCCTAGACCTTACTTACAGCTTTATTTCTGCAAGGACAGCCAAAAAATGTTCAGAGTAGGAGGCCTGCGCATTTCAGACGAGCTATTTCTACAATGTGGCACATGGTAGAAAGACCTGAATACAGTAACTATAGCTATGAAAACGGTGATGTTGGAAGGACGTGGTGCTAAGATTTTTCAGCAAACATGAGGGGGCTGAAGCTCTTGGTCTAAGTATGAACCCTGCTGCTGTTCTGCTATAATGTCCTTAGAAATCACGGAAGGAAATCTAGCAGAATGTTTTAAATAAGGAAATACCGTCAACACATTATAAATTAGAGCATTCAGAATAAAACTGAATTCAGTTGTGCAGGGCCTATAATTAACTCCAGGGATAGACAGGCATCTTCGGATCTGAACACAAAGCAGGCAGATGGCTATAGCCATATAACTAGCTCTTAATCTATTATTGTTGGAATTGAAATAAAAAAGCAACAAGTGGTAGGAAGAAGGTGTGTTTTCTCCTTTGCTGCAATGGCTTTTATTTATATAAATGAAATAGATATGCTGGGAGCATTCTGCCTTTTACTTATGAGAGACTTTCTGGGAGGAAGGATGGTCTTGTGGTTAAAGCTCAGGCCAGAGATTTGGGTTCTAGTCCCAGCTCTGCCATAAAGTTCCTTGGTGACACAGTGAGTTATTTAATCTCTTGCCTCCATTTCCCCATCTGTAAACTGGGCATTTGAATAATACTTATTCAGAGAGGTAATATGAGGTTAAAACCATTAATGTTTATAAGACACTATATATAAGTAAGGCTAAGATTTAATTACGGGTATTTTTGGTAAAAGTCATGGACCGGTCACGGGCAATAAATAACAATTCACAGCCCATAACCTGTCCATGACTTTTACTATAAATACCCCTGACTAAAACTCTACTTCTGGGGTGCTGCTGCTCAGGGGGGCCCCTGCTGGGGAGGCGCTGTTCCAGTGCTGGGGGTTGACTGCCCCCTGGCCGCTGCCCCCTAGGACCACTCTACAGATGGCCTGTGGATGTCCCAGGCTGCTGCTCCAGCAGCCTCGGGACCGCTGCTTCAGTCGCCCCGGGACCACTGCTGCTCGGGTGCTTCCTGGAGCCAGCCGCTGTTCCGGCAGTTCCCAGAGCCAGCTGGCCCCGGGCCTTCCAAGCAACGGCTGGTGTGGATGGCCCCTGGGACCGCTGGATTAGCTGGCTCCAGATCGCTCCAGCAGCTGCTTGGATGGCTCTGAAGTCAGCCACACCAGCCGCTGTGGAAGTCACGGAGGTCATGGAAAGTCATGGAATCCCTGACTTCCACAAAAGAATCACAGCCTTATATATAATTACAAAGTATTTTACATGCAAAATGTAATTGGTCTCTTACACAGTTGGCATGTGATGTTTTATTCTTCTCTGCTAAACCTAAAACTTGATTTTCCCTTTATATATGCCACCTATGGCCTGCCATGTAGCTCAGGAACCAGTGTGAACATGTTTCTGTTAAGCAGAAAAGGCTTTTCAGGGCATGATGCAGTAACTTGCATTGCATCAGGCATTTTTCCATTCAGGATGAAACAGAGTTGTTTGCAAGTGCCATATGTCATTTCTTATGTAAAGAATAGTTCCTTGCTTGGGATGTGAGCATATTTTACAGAAAGCACTGCACATCCATTTCCTGTATTTAATTATTGGTTTCCCTAACTTACTTTGCATATCTATCATGTGAACTCTTGTGACTTCTGTTCCATTTGGAAAACACCTTGCATGTTATAGATACTATCAGAACAAATAAATAATAATACTAATAATGCAATAAGCTCATTTCAAGTAAGGCAGAAGATTATATTCCTGAGATGGATGTACCATTACAATGTCTTAGTAGACCCTTGGCTAAAAAGATATTGCTAAGGAAAAATACAGCTCCTTCATTAGTAGATAATTCATTGGGTAAATAATAAAAACATCACATACCATAGGCTGGCAAATACAGCTAAGAGTAAAATTGTCCTCTCTAGTCAATATTGTAGATCTTTTACCCATAATGCAGATTTGTGGCATATTCTCATTTATTCCCCATACAGAATTCCCCTTTGTCAGTTTTTGGCCTTATCTGTGACTAGATTTATTACTTATTAATATTCCAAAGATTACTTATTGTTTGTTAAGCACCAGTGATGTTCGCAACAATGTACAAGTCACAAATAAAGACAAGCCTCTGCCTTTAATAGTTTATGATTTAAAAGAGACAACGATAAATTAGACCCACTGGGAGACCCAGAGGAATATTAATCTGGAATGTTACATTTTATGTATCTGTAACATGTTCTTTCTTCCATTTCTGTTTGGAGAAGTCAATTGACTGAGGTTTGTAAGTGTTTGCTTGCGGATTCAATGGAAGAAGTAGTCTGTAGTTAGGATGTGAATGAGGAAAATTTAGAGACCTGTTGCCCTGGGGATTATGAGGCTGTTTCATTGATAGGGAGCAACAGGGACACAGACCCAGAGATGGGACTAGAAAACGGAATCCCCTTAGCTTCTTACATACACTCTTACATACACTACTTCATGCCATGAGTACATTAGTTTGACACCATCTCATGAGTACGTCTCTGAATCATTATCTTTTCATCTCTAAATTACTGCTTTAGTTCCAGTTTAGGTGAGTAAAACTCATTGTCATCTGTTGGCTTGTTCAGTGACCTGTGCAAATTTGGTGGACTCAGTCCAGTCCCTGTCAGACAGGTGTATTTATCACAACAATCATCACTAGAACAAGCGCTAAATGCTTCAGAATATTTTGAGGTTATTACAACACATCCTCAAACCACCAACACTGACAATAAATAGTACCTGTATGTATCCTATTTTATTTCCATTCTTACAATATATTGAGTAGAATTTCAGGGTGAGGTGAGAAGCCACCTCTGATCTTGATCAAAAGTCTGCACAGTCTATCACAAATGAAATCTCAGCAGCTACCTTTTATATTTTAATGTGTTCCGATTTGGTGAGCCTTGTCAGGGCCCTGGGTTAGTAACTGTTAGTGACACTGGAGGTCATTGCCAGTTTACCTGATTTCACATGCTGCTAGATGATTGAAAGGAGCTCTGAGTGCTCACTTTGCTGTTTTAAGTGGACTTGATATTATTCGAATTATTGACCTTCTAATCCCTGTCTACAATCACCATTGTGTGCGCTATTAAAATCTGAGACAAGGAAAAAGCACTAGCACTTGGACAAAGATGGTTAGAATTAAGGAATACAATTTTAGCGCAATTCTGAAATGCCCAAGACTGGAAATGAGGAAATCTGGGTCTTCTTCCTGGTTTTTCACAGGCTAGTTATGTGGCCTTGGAACAACCACAATTTTTTTTTTCCTGCCAAAGTGTCTTTATCTGGAATTTGGGACTAACAAGACTTCTCTGACTCACAGAGGTGTTATGAAGCTTAATTCATTAATGTTCATAAATGTTCATTGTGCCTTCAATCCAAGGCAATGTAAACATTACCATATTATTTTCAGGCATTTATAGTTACTTGCATCCAAGTCAGGCATAGAGTACATGGACTAGATCAGGGATCGGCAACCTTTGGCACGCGGCCCATCAGGGTAAGCCCCTTGGCAGACTGGGACAGTTTGTTACCTGCAGCACCCACAGGTTCAGCCGATCGCAGCTCTCACTGGCCGCAGTTTGCTGTTCCAGGCCAAAGGGGGCTGTGGGAAGCAGCATGGGCCAAGGGTTGTGCTGGCTGCCGCTTCCTGCAGCCCCCATTGACCTGGAACAGCAAACCGCAGCCAATGGGAGCTGCGATTGGCTGAACCTGCGGACACTGCAGGTAAACAAACCGTCCTGGCCCACCAGCAGATTTCCCTGACGGACCGCATGCCAAAGGTTGCCGATCCCTGGACTAGATTCACTACCATTGTTGTAGGAAGGGGCACTGCACCTAGGTGGAGATTCACAGTCCAGGAGGGACAGGCAGTGTTTATACTGTCACCTTCTCTTAGGGTGTCACTGATTTAGTGAAAGCTTTAACTTCCCCCAGGAGCTCTATAGATGCCCAGCTAGTAGGATTGCCACAAAAACTGGTCATATGGGGTGATCCTGAGCTGGATAGCTGGCAGTGTGCACTGAGTATCCTTATAGATTTCCTGGGACAGCTACCTTCATACAAGGATACAGGCCTAGCTATATGTGTACGCTGCTGCTCTAGCAGGGTTCTGGTGACTGCAGCAGCAGAAGACAGGGACAGTAGAGTGCTCCCAAATTATTTAAAAGGATACTACTGAATTCCCTTACACTACAGCAGTGGTGCCCAGCTTTTTTACACAGGAGGGCCACATAAACCTAAGCACAACCTTGTGTGGGCCAAACAGATTCTACATATTTTAATAAGATTTAAAGTCACCTGTACTGATTTTATATTTTAAGTTCAGCTTGTTTCGTATGTAGTTAGTTAGCTTGTTTCTATGTACAGTAGTGTCTATTTATGCACTTGTATAAAATAAAGGTAAGCATAATGACAAAATGCTAATGAACCGGCTGTTAGTACACTGTGGTGAAGCAAGCCACAGGCCTTATGAAATTCTCTGGTGGGCTGTGTAGTGCATCTGCGGGCTGTAGGTTGGGCACCCCTGCACTACAGAGCCAAAGGGGATAAAACTTTACTGAAAAAAAGACCACGCATGCCTTTCTCCTCTAGATTTGCTGCTTTAACTCTAGCCTGGGTTAGTAGTGACCGAAAATCATTATCATCTGATGGCTGTTTGGTGGTCCAGTCCCCAGTGGACAGGGGTCCTTATCACAAATACTGCTTCCACAATTGGCACTAATTGGTTCTTCTGTTGGCAGTCTCAGAGGAGAGACCCAGGACTGAATGGGCATAAAGATTCAGCCACCTCTCATTCCTAAAGATAACCCATCCAGATTAGCACTTGGGCAGCGTGAGGAAGCTCACATTGCTGCTGCATGTGTTGTCTTGTTTGCTGGGGGCTCAGTTGGGGCTTTGCCATGATCATGACACACGGAACAGCGCTGCCCCAGGAGCAGCCCAGGAAGCAGACTGCAACTGGGAGTCACATTCTGGCTTCTGGTTTCTCCCTGCCTGGAGGGAAACCTACCCTGTACCTAGTCTGTACCTGGTGCAGTGAGCACAACCCAGCACGTTGGTAGGACAGAGTCAAGGTTCTGACTGCTGCCCACTTGGGGAAGCCACTACCTATGATGAATGTAGCCAGCACAGGGGCACATGAGGCACCTATGGCTCCTTACTTCCCTGTGTGGGCATACAGGAAAGGTCACAGTCTGGCCCTGCATTAACAGGAAACATTATTTTCCTTTCATGAGCAATACAATTCACACCTGTCCAGACCAAAAGCCCATAGAAATTGAAATCCTCAAACTACTGCCCAAGCGTAACCATCATATGGGTATGTATCTGGCAGTTCTTGATTCATGAGTGATTCTTTTTGATTCACAGTAATCTATACTTAGAGGCTTTTGACACCAATGTATTTAAAGTGAAGTTTAAATGTGCCTCTTTTTCTTACAGAACATATCATTCTGTAACCATTTCAGCTGTATCAGCAATTTCACCATCTCGGTGGCTTGCTTTTATTGTATTTTCAGTTGTTGGGCCTGAATCTGATTTCACACTGGTGTAAATCAGGAGCAAAGCTCAGGTGTAGTGAAGAATTGAGCCCATTTTCTTTCCCTCTCTGTACCATTTGAACCTTGGCACTTCCTCAGTGTTTTTAATTAACATGTATAATAACAAAGCCGTAGAACTGGGCCAGATCTGCCAAGGAAATAATACTACTTTGCAGTTGCATAGCTTAATGAATTAAGTTTGACAACAGCATGTTAGGTGGGTAAACGCACATAATTCCCCCTCCTTATGTATGGGTCCAAATCATAAAGTCCAGATTCAGTTTTAGGGAGCTCTGATTTTGGATTATATATGAGGCCTTTGAAAATGTGGGTCCTGACAGGAATTTTGAATGCCCTCCAAAGTTGGGGTTTATTGCGATCTGGGGATTTGGTTTGGGTCCTTCTCTATCCAAATAGAATCTGAAACAGTCAGCCAAATAAGCAGTGGAAGCACAGATGGTATTAAGGTATCTAAGGAAAGCACAGCTGTTCACTTAACCTCCCTTACCATACACTGATCTGTGTGCTCAAAGCATGTGCACTTGCCAAAAACTGGATGGTGGCCTTTGAGCCCTACCACTCTGCCCACATATCAACATATTAATGGGGGTTGGCTGACTAAGTTCCCTCAGTCAGCATGCTGGGGATAGTCCCCTCTTTCACTGAGACACACTGTTATGGGGGAGAAAAGCAGCAAACAAAGGAAAAAGCATCAGCCAGAGAATCTGAAATTTCTAGTTTTCTTTCCCAGCTAGACCAGACAAGGACAAGAAAACAGCTTGATTTTATTCTGTAATATTTTATCTTCAACCCTTCAGCCACTGATGGGAAAATTAAATACAGATGAGATGTTAGTCTCTTTTCTCTAACTAAACTATAAAAATATAATCTGACTTGTCCAGACAAGGACAGTATAAACAATATCCGAGGTTTCTATTATTAGGTTGGTAAGTCCATTGCCTAGGTTTGAGTTCAGTGCATGGCAGGAGAGAGCTGAGATTAAATATATTGTAGCTGCTTCTTCTCAACAGAAATGTTGGATGTTTTTGTTCTCTGAATAATGAGACACTGAATCACTGCAAGTTATTAAATATAAACCTCTTCAATTAATGCAGAGTCATTAGCTGCAGGATTTACATACATTTTTCTGATGGCTCTACATGTCAACTGTCAGTTTGTGCAGCATTTTAATATTCCACTGTTCGGGGTTAAGAAGGCTTATGAGATCTTAGATCACTTATCAGTGTTTGGTGTGGAGTTTCATTATCTCTAGCATGGATTACTGAGGCACAAACTGTTGTTCTAATGGTTTCTTTGAAAGTTACTAATAATGCCTTCTCCAGAGAATTATACGTGGCTGTATAGTACATATAAAATAATATTATGCATCGTGTGTGATGGACGAGATATCCGCATTTGTTTGATTTGGATTCTAGGACACAAGGGTATTAAGGGGAAATGAAATGGCAGCTGCAGCTGTTGTAGGCATTCCCCAAAGGGTTAGAGCTAATAAGATGTATATCTTCATCCAAAACTGAGTTAATTCTGAAAGCAGAGGACAAAAAATGAAAGTTAAACTAATCACAAACATAAGAATCTAGGATAATGGAAAACAAAAAAGGATTTTTTTAAACTTCCTTCACTCATCTGTGCCAGATAATTATGATAAAAATGATATCTTTAAGCAAGAAATCCTGGAAGACAAGATGTTGTGCAGCTTGAGTGTCAGCTTTTTTGAGGGGGGGGGGAGAGGAAAAAAAACCCCAACCAAAAAAAAACAATCCATATCACAGATTGGAACTTTACGTCACACAGACAGTTTTTGAAAGATCCTGCATATATATCTAGACTGCTGCAAATTTATTGCCCAAAAGGGAATAATTTTTAAAATCCTATTTAGGGCTGATATTAAAGACTTTAATCTATTTTCTGTTTTTAAACTCTAGATAAAATATGGTGCTGGAAATCTAAAGTCACAATTAAGTTTGTTTGAAAATATTGCAAACCTATAAAAGAAAAGGTATATTCCAATTTAGCTTTATGCGTTGGGTTGACATCACTGTGCCTGGATTTATACCCTATATTTCCTCTAATTTTTATTTTAAGTTGTTGAATGCCGCTCTTTCATGTTCTCCTTTAAGAAGCTGTTAGTCTTACTCCAAGCAGCTAGAGCAGGCCTGCACAACTCATAAAGCAGCAAGGGCCATATTACTCTAGAGAAAACAGCTGAGGGCCGAACCACCCCCCCCCCCCAGCGTCGCCTGGCCCCGTGGAAACAACCCCCCCCCAGCGCCTCCCACCCCATGAAAACAAACCCTCCTTCCCCAGTGCTGCCCCGCTGAAACAGCTGTGGGCCGAAAAGGAAGGGGGGGGGGAGTAATACTTTATTAAGAATTTTTCAGTTAAAGCAAACTTTTTTAATTTTAATTTTTTTATGGATCGTGGAAAAATGAAAAACATCTGTTCCGTTGAAAGAAAACATTTGTACTTTTCATAATTACCTTGCACATTTAACGAGAGATAGTACATCTCTTTTCGGCAACAAACTTGTCATATTCGGGGGTCATATTTGAAGTGGATATTTTCATAATGTCTTCCAAAAGGTTGTCAGTCAGAGAAGTACGTTGCTTGTTTTTATTCATGTTCATGATGGAAAATGTTTGTTCACATATGTAGGTGCTTCCAAAAATGCTGAACGTTTTCAGTGCAACTTCAATAAGATTCTTGTATTTTTCATTGTCCAGACTTTTGTAGAAGTCCTGCAGGCTGCTTTCTCTGTGCTTATTTCAGTAAACTGCCAAACACTGAAGTTCAATAACCTCCAACTGCAAATCTAGTGGCACTTCCTCTGGATCCACAGAAAAGGGATCTTCAATCAGCTTCAACTGGACGTCGTCTTCTTTAGACAAAGTAAGCCTTCTGTCAAATTCTTCAATCAAAAGATTAATGTGCTTTCTTTATTTTTCTTCTAACTCGGCGTGTTTGTGCTGAGCAATACGCTGTACACAAGTGGGAAAGTGACATATTTCGCCTTTTGACAGCTGACTTCTGAAAAGTTTCAATTTCATTTTGAAAGCTTTCACTGCTGCACACATTTGAAATATAAGATGATTTTTTCCTTGAAGTTGAATGTTGAGATCATTCAGGTGTGCTGTAACATCACAAAAGAAAAAGATCTTGATTCCAGGACTCATTTTTAAGCTCTGGGAATTTTATTGGCCCATTTTCTAGGAATTTTGCTACCTCCTCTTTCAAAGCAACAAAACACTGGAGCACTCTTCCTCGACTCAGCCACCTCACTTCCGTATGGTAGATTAAGTCGCTGCACTCAGCGTCTACCCCTTCAAGAAAGGCTCGAAATGTCCTATGTTTTAGTCCTCTAGAACAGATGTAGTTAACGATGGAAACTCCACTGATATTACATGCTCAAATTTTAAGACTTTGCTAAACAAAACCTGCTGACATATAATGCAGTGATGTTTGGTTATTTGTCTCCCGATAAATTCTTCAAGAAGAGTAACTGCTCCAACATTTTTTCTGCACATAGCTGGAGCACCATCAGTACAAATGGCCACCAAGTTTGTGAAATCTAATCCCAACTTATCATTCATGTACTTTATCACTTCACTGGAGATTTCTTTTCTGGTTGTGCGACCTGTCATGGAGCACATGCCAGAAAGTTCTTCAATAATTTCAAAGTTTTTATCAATACCTGTAATAAAAAATAAGAAGTTGGGCGGTGTCTTTTAAATCAGTGCTTTCATCTACAGCTAGGGAGTAAAAGCAGAATTTACTGACTCTCTGCTTTAACTGATCGTTTAGATTGGTAGAAAAGTCAGCTGCTATTCTCTGTACAGTCATGCGTGATAGACTGCCATTCTCAAATATTCCCCTCTTTTCTGGACATAACTCAGATACAGCAATCAACATACACTTTTTTAAAAATTCGCCTTCTGTGAAGCATTTCCCAGCAGCAGCAATTTCCTTAGAAATTTGAAAGCTTACTTTAGTAACTGTATCTTTCTCAGTGCTCGCTTTCTCGAAAATTTGCTGTTCTCTACTAAGGTTTTTCGCTAAACTGGCTGCTTTAATTATTTTTTCATTTGGGTTCAATTTGGCAAGATTGGGATGTTTAGTTTCAAAGTGCCGCCGAAGGTTGTATTCTTTTGGAACGGCTAACATTTCGCGACACACAAGGCACAGTATTTTGTCTTTGGAAACAGTACATAAGTATTTATTTGTCCATTCGGTGTTGAAAACTCTGTGCTCTGATTCTATTTTTCTTTTCACTCAGAGTATCCATTATGAAGCTCAAGATTGTATTGAATAAATTCACACATAAGGGAAACACTCAGTCACACACAAAGAGAAGAGATATCTCACTGCGCATGGCACACTAACAAGGCACTGATGGTGTGTGGAAGCCCATAGAGGGGGAAAGAAACTGCGTGCATAGGGTGACCAGATCACAGCAGTAAAATAGGACCCCCCCCTTCCCGTTCGACCCCACCATCACACCCCTCTTCCCCCCATACCGCCCTGCTGGCTTGCTGCGTCCCCCCTTGTCAGTCCCCACCCCCCACTCGCCTCCTTTTGCCTCCTCCCTCCCCTGCCAGAAACCCGCATGCCCTCCCCTAGAACCCCTGTTGGCTCACTGCTCGCCTCTTTGCCCACCTACCGCTCGCCCACCCGCTTGCCCCCAACTCGCCGCTTGCCCCCTCACCCCTCCCCAAGTATAAAGTCTCATTCAAAGACCCAGGGGTCACTATATTACTGCACACAGTAGTCAATCAATGCAGTTATAGATAAATCTCTGCATTATGCATTTTTGTATAACTTTTATATGACTTTGTATTGAACCTTGGTAATATGTTATAGCAGGCCCCTAAGGTAGTATAATTAAGGTAAAAGAAAAATGTCTTTTTGCTAGAAGTAGAATAAGATCTTCTCCCCACTTTGTAATCAATTGCCCTGTTGAATGAATGAGGTGTGAATGAGGAAGGCATGGAAGGCCACCTCCAGACAGCTGCAACCCTTGGAGAGGTGATGGGAGCCAGACCAAGGACAATCAAACTTGTCAAATGGGCTGACTAGAGAAGAGCAGACATACTGACGGCCTCGGGGGTTAGAAGCAAGCACCTTCCTTTGGGAACACCCTCTTTGCAGCATTGGGACAACCCCCCAGCCCAGAGAAAAGCAGCAAAAAGGACGAACGGACACAGTCCCAGATTTTGAATCTGGGAGATTTGCATAAGAGGGAAGCTACTATAAAAGTGAGGTGTCTTGCAGAGAACCCTGGGTTTCCTCTTGTCAACATCAGAGCAACACCTGGCTCCACCCCTCCCCCATCAAACTCACCTGGCCAGTGAAGTTAAGGGGAGCAACTCGTTGGTAACAATAGCAAGATGGAGAGAGTGTGTGTGTGTACATGAGTGTAATATATATCATATGCATATGATAGTGTTTATTATTACATGTAGTACTAATAAATGTGGCATTTTGCCTTATTCCCCCTGAAAAGATCCTGTACAGTACTTTAAGTAAAACACAGTAACAAAAAAATTTCAAATACTGAAAATGGATGCCCCCCTCTAGCCACCGACTCGCTGCTCGCCTCCTCAGGCCCCCCTCCCCCCTTGCCAGCTCACCTGCCCCCTAGCCACTAGCCTCTTCACCACCCCGCCGGCTGGGGGTGGAGCACTGACCTGGGGAAGCTCCTGTTTGGTGCTCAGGAGTGGGATGGAGATGGGGGGGGGGGGTGCAGGAGTCGGGGCAGGGGAGGTATGTGGGGGGGTGCAGGGGTCAGGGCAGGGGGCTGGGGGCGTGGCGGTGCTCACGGCAGGGGCTGGAGGGGGTATGCCCCGATTCCAGCCCTTTCCCCAAGGCCACGCTAGCTCCTCTCCCCCCCGGAGCAGCGAGCGTGCTGAGGCTCCGCTCTTCCCCCTCCCTCCCCGGCAAGCGGCGGCAGGGAGAGGGAGAGGGAAGGGAACGTAGCACGCGGGGGAAGAGGCAGGGGAGGAGCCGCAGCTGCCGGCAGCATCAAGCTTCTGCCCCAACAGGAGAGAGCAGGGGGACGGAGAAGGCCGGGCCGAGCCTGGGCCCCTTTGGACCTGTGGGCCCGGCGCCAGTGGCACCATGGTAAATCTGGTATTGCCGCTACTGCCCGCCCGGCTCGCCATCCCCCCGCCCCGCCAGCTCGCCGACTCGCCTGCTCAGCCCCCCTCCCCCGCCGCCAGCTCACCTGCCCCCCAGTCACTGGCCTCTTCACCACCCGCCGGCCGGCCGGCCAGCCATTGGCTTTCCCCCCCGCCGCTTGCCTGCACCCCCCGCGGGCCGCACAGTGAGCCCACGGGAGCCGCATGCCGCCTGGGGCCGCATGTTGTGCAGGCCTGGGCTAGAGAATATCATTCTCTGGAAATTTGCCAGGTATTGTACAGGGAGAAAATGCCTTGAACCTCAATTTTAATCTGCACTTGAGTTCCCCCTCCTAGGAGTCTGAGTCGCTGTGTAATGTCCTCAGGTGCAACGATTTCTCCTCTAAAGAGCCTCCAAAGACTGTTCCTATGCTGGCAGTCATAGAATCATAGAATATAAGGGTTGGAAGGGACCCCAGAAGGTCATCTAGTCCAACCCCCTGCTCGAAGCAGGACCAATTCCCAGTTAAATCATCCCAGCCAGGGCTTTGTCAAGCCTGACCTTAAAAACCTCTAAGGAAGGAGATTCTACCACCTCCCTAGGTAACGCATTCCAGTGTTTCACCACCCTCCTAGTGAAAAAGTTTTTCCTAATATCCAACCTAAACCTCCCCCACTGCAACTTGAGACCATTACTCCTCGTTCTGTCATCTGCTACCACTGAGAACAGTCTAGATCCATCTTCTTTGGAACCCCCCAGGTAGTTGAAAGCAGCTATCAAATCCCCCCTCATTCTTCTCTTCTGCAGGCTAAACAATCCCAGCTCCCTCAGCCTCTCCTCATAAGTCATGTGTTCCAGACCCCTAATCATTTTTGTTGCCCTTCGCTGGACTCTCTCCAATTTATCCACATCCTTCTTGTAGTGTGGGGCCCAAAAAACTGTTGCATTTCCTCTGGGGTGTTACTGTAGGCAAGGTGCAAGCATTTTTACCGCTACGTAAATTAACCATGCTCAGTGCAGGTCGGGAAAAGACAAATTAATTGTTAATCATCAAATAGCATCTAGGACCTGGTCCTGTGAAGTGCCAATGAGCATCTTACAGAATTGGGCTCTTTTATTTGTTGATTGTCAAATAATTATTTCTGCAGAGTCTGTGTAATGTGTAGCTTGTGCAGTAAACTTTCCTCAGGAGCCTAAAATGGCTCTCAGCTCTGTGAAATATGGTCCCGCTCTTGCGTGGACATTACAGAAGATGTGGCAGTGGGGCAAACTTACCTGAGGCTATTTAAGAAGATAAAGTGAGAATGGGAAGTACTTGTTTGTCCCTTGTCCTTGTGTCTTAGCAGAGAATGTTCAGAACTACTGAACTTTGGATACTGCAAATGCTTTCGGTACAATGGGTGGTGTGTAGTGTAAATACCCAGAAAAATATAGCTATTGTAGATGCACGTAGGGTGACCAGATGCAGGGCTGGATTAATGCAGGTGCTTTAGGTGCTGCAGCCCAGGGCATGCTGGCAGGATGCGGCCTGCTGCTTTTCACAGACCAGTCCCTGAGTCTCGGCGCCCCCCCCACGGGGCTGGAGCCGCGAGTGCTGGCTCGCCAATGTGCCCCTGAAGCCTCTAGGTGAGGGGCATTCAGGGAATCTCTGTGCCCTGCCCCCAACACTGGCTCTGCAGCTCCCATTGGCCAGGTACAGTGGCCAATGGGAGCTGCGGGGGCGGCACCTGTGGGCACTGGCAGCGTGCACCGCACAGAGCAGCTGCACTCCAAACCTCCTGCTGCACCCCTGGCTCCACCCCAGAGTCCACCCCCCCAGCTGGAGCTGCACCCCCTCCTGCATCCCAATCCCCTGTCCCAGCCCTGAGCCCACTCCAAACCCCCAGGAGCCCCACAAAATCTAATAGCCCCTGGCCCAAAGGAGAGTTAATCCGGCTCTGACCCGATGTCCCAATTTTATAGGAACAGTCCCGATACTTGGGGCTTTTTCTTATATAGACACCTATTACCCCCCCATCCCTGTCTCAATTTTTCACACTTGCTATCTGGTCACCCTAGATGCATGTCACTTAGGAAAGTCCCTGTCATATCACTTGTCTTGTTAGTGCATAGTACATACCATTACTATATGGAATTTTGAAAAGCGATTGACAATTTCTCTTTAGTAGAAGCCTCAGCTCTCTAGAGGCTGCACATACTTTGATCATTTTTGTTCTATTCTCTACTTTGTAAGAGAAATTTCCAACATCAAGCAACTGAGGACAAATTCATTCGGGATGAATTTGCTCAAGGACAATGATGATTTTGTCCTTCCTACCCATTCTTTAAATGCCCCTGTTATCCACCTGCTGTGATTCCATTCCTTCACCCCCCAGCTTCTGTGGCATTACTGATCTGTGGCCCTACCCTCATTCTCCTAGATGAAATGTGAATAAGTACATGGGTGGCCTTAGCCAGTACCTTCTGATGTGTGTTCAAGACTGAGCACTTTTATTTGGACTCATTGACTAAATGGGCACATACAATTTATGTTAAAATCAGAAAGGGGCTCAAGCTTCAGAAGTTAAAATCTGGATTTTGAACGCCCAGCATTGCTCAGATGCAGAGATTTGGTTTGCCCATTATAAAGATAGAAGGCATTGGCAAAATCTAGATCCAAGTTTAGATTTTCAATGCCACCAAAATCTGGGGAAGTTTTGTTCTGAAGTTTTGGTTTAGGTCCATCCTGAGTTAAAATGAAACAATTTATGCCCATTTAAACCAATTCCGATCAATAAAATCTTGATCAGAGAATACCACACACTGTGATATAGAAACTAAAAGGTATACCATACTATTAATAGATAGCACATTTAAAACTGATAAAAGTAAATACTTTTATCCAACATATAATTAATCTGTAGAACTCACCACTGTAGATATTAGTGAGGGAAACAACTTTGTAAGGCTCAAAAGACATTAAAATCAATAATAATAGTGCCTGCTATTAGGGGAGGTAGAATCAAAATTAGAGTTATCGATCTTCACGTTTCAGGACATAAACTGATCAGCTAGGATCAGAAAGAAATTCCTGCTTATGTACAATTGGCTAGGTATGTCTGATTTTGTGTTTTTAATTTAATTTCCTTCTCCTGAAGCATCTCGAATAGGCCATGATCAGAGAAAGAGGCTCAGAGGATCATTCGGCTGTTTCATTTTGTTTGGTTGGTTGGTTTCTGTGCAAAGGATGTAGTAGAAGCTGCTGTTAAGAATTTACAGCAAATTGATGATGGATTTGGAAATATTGTAATTACAGAATCAGACATGTAGGGCTGGAAGGGACCTTAAGACCCCTGGCAGGACCAGGTAAACCTAGACCATCCCTGAGAAGGTGTTTGTCCAACCTGTTTTTAAAACCCCCAATGACAGTGATTCCACAACCTCCTTTGGAACTATCTTATAGTTAGACAGTTTTTTCCTAATATCTAACCTAAAAAATCGTTGCTGCAGATTAAGCCCATTACTTCTTATCTACCTGCAGTGAATGAATAGAACAATTGATCCCTGTCCTCTTTATAACAGCCCTTCACATATACAAAGACTATTTTCAGTTTCCCCCTTCAGTCTTCTTTTCTCAAGATTAAACATGCCCAGTTTTTTTAACCTTTCCTCATCAATCAGGTTTTCTAAACTTTTATCATTTTTGTTACCCTCCTCTCAACTCTCTCTCCAATTTGTCCACATCTTCCCTAAAGTGTGGCACCCAGAACTGAACACAGTACTCCGGCTGAGGCCTCACCTCGGCTGTGGTGAGGCCTCAGCTGGAATACTGTGTCCAGTTACCTCCCATGTTTTACATACAACAGTCCGTTAATACACCCCAGAATGATATTAGCCTTTTTAGTAATTGCATCACAATGCTGGCATATTCAATTTGTGATCCACTATGACCCCAAGATATTACCTAGCCAGTTATGTAGCCCATTTTGTAGTTTATGCATTTGACTTTTCCTTCCTAGATGAAATACTTTGCACTTGTTTTTATTGAATTTCATCTTGTTGATTTCAGATCAATTCTCTAACTTGTTGAGGTCATTTTGAATTCTAATCCTGTCCTCCAAAGTGCTTGCAACCCTTTCTAGCTTGATGTTATCCACAAATTTTATAAGCATGGTTTTCATTCCATTATCCAAGTCCTTAATGAAAATATTAAATAGTATTGGACACAGGACTGACCCCTGCAGTACCCCACTAGATATACCGTCCCAGTTTGACAGCAAACCATTGATATCAGATCTTTGAGTGTGGTCTTTCAGCCAGTTTTGCACCCACTTTATAGTAACTTAATCTAGACCACATTTCCCTAATTTGCTTATGAGAATGTCACATAGGATTGTGTCAAAAGCTTTACTAAAAATCAGTATATCATTTGTTTAGCTTCACCTTATTTATTAGAACAGTACCCTGTCAAAGAAGGAAATTAGGTTGGTTTGGCATGAAATGTTCTTGAAAAATCCATGTTAGCTATTACTTATCATTCTGTTACCTTCTAGATGTTTGCCAAATTGATTATTTAATAATTTGTTCCAGGATCTTTCTCAGTATTGAAGTTACGCTGAGTGGTCCTCTTCAAACCCCTCCCCCATTTAGAGATATACTATGTTTGCCCTTCCCTAGTCCTTTGGGACCCCACTTATCCTTCTTGGATTCTTAAAGATAATTACTAACAATTCCAAGATTGCTTCAGCTAGTTCCTTAAGTTCCTTAGGGTGAATTTCATCAGGCCCTGGTGACTTGAATACATCTAAATATTCTTTAAATTGTTCTTTCCATATTTTGGCTTGCATTCCTAATCCCTTGTTAATATTAATTGTGTCAAGTATCTGGTCACAATTTATCTTTTTTAGTGTAGACTGAAGCAAATCAGGCATTATGCTTCAGCCTCCTTGATATCATTTTATTAGCTCTCCTTCCCCACTTAGGCCTTGTCTGCACTACAGGAGCAAGTCGATCTAAGCTACACAATTTGGGTTACGTAAATAGCATAACTCAAGTCAACGTAGCTTAGATCTACTTACCGTGGGGTCCATACTGCTCTATATCAGTGGGAGAGAGTCTCCCATCAACTCCCCTTACTCTTCTCATTCCCATGGAGTACAGGAGTTGACGGGAGAGCGATCTGCAGTTGATTTAGTGGGTCTTCATTAGACACGCTAAATCGTCTGTTGATGCATCGATCACCGCATGTCAATCCCCGGTAAG